GCATGGTGGCATATGACTGTAATCCTAGCTACTCAGGAGGCTGAGGCAGGAGAATCACTTGAACCTAGAATTCAGAGGCTGCGGTGAGCTGAGATCACTCCATTGCACTCCAGCCTGGGCAACAGAGCAAGATTTCACCCTGAAAAAAAACAATGACAACTTGATTATATAAAAGTTTTTGGGTTTTTAAAAATATATGTAAGTCCTCTTATTGTGACTTACATTGGCTGTTCATGACATGGTTGGACTTTCTGATTTGTTCTAAACACCCCTCCTTTTTATTTATTTTGGGTTTTTTTATTTTTTATTTTTATTTATTTATTTATTTATTTTGAGCCTGACTCTGTCACCCAGGCTGGAGTGCAGTGGCATGATCTCAGCTGACTGCAACCTCTGCCTCCCAGGTTTAGGTGATTCTCCTTCCTCAGTCTCCCAATAACTGGGATTACAGGGGCATACCATCATGCCCACCTAATTTTTTTTTTTTTTTTTTTAAGACAGGGTTTCAGGCCGGGCGCGGTGGCTCAAGCCTGTAATCCCAGCACTTTGGGAGGCCGAGGTGGGTGGGTCACGAGGTCAAGAGATCGAGACCATCCTGGTCAACATGGTGAAACCCCGTCTCTACTAAAACTACAAAAAATTAGCTGGGCATGGTGGTGCATGCCTGTAATCCCAGCTGCTCAGGAGGCTGAGGCAGGAGAATTACCTGAACCCAGGAGGCGGAGGTTGCGGTGAGCTGAGATCGCGCCATTGCACTCCAGCCTGGGTAACATGAGTGAAACTCCGTCTCAAAAAAAAAAAAAAGACAGGATTTCACCATGTTGGTCAGGCTGGTCTTGAACTCCCAACCTCAGGTGATCTGCCCACCTTGGCCTCCAAAGTGCTTGGATTACAGGCGTGAGCCACCATGCCTGGCCTAATTTTGTTTTTGTTTTTTTGAGACAGAGTTTTGTTTACCACAACCTCCACCTCCCAGGTTCAAGATTCTCCTGCTTCAGCCTCCCGAATAGCTGGGATTAAGGGCATGGGCCATGATGGCCTACTAATTTTGTATTTTTAGTAGAGACAGGGTTTCTCCATGTTGGTCAGGCGAGTCTTGAACTCCCAACCTCAGGTGATCCACACACCTGGGCCTCCTGAAGTGCTGGGATTACAGGCATGAGCCACCTCACCCTGCCTAATTGTTGTATTTTTAGTAGAGACAGGGTTTCTCCATGTTGGTCAGGCGAGTCTTGAACTCTCAACCTCAGGTGATCCACCCACCTGAGCCTCCCAAAGTGCCAGGATTACAGGCAAGAGCCACTGCGTGCAGCTTATGATTATTATTATTATTTATTATTTTTTATTGCATTTTAGGTTTTGGGGTACATGTGAAGAACATGCAAGATTGTTGCATAGGTACACACATGGCAGTGTGATTTGCCACCTTCCTCCCCTTCACCTATATCTGGCATTTCTCCCCATGCTATCTCTCCCCAACTCCCCACCCCGCGCTGTCCCTCCCCTATTTCCCCCCAAAAGAACGCAGTGTGTGATGCTCCCCTCCCTGTGTCCATGTGTTCTCATTGTTCAACATCCGCCTATGAGTGAGAACATGCAGTGTTTGATTTTCTGTTGTTGTGTCAGTTTGCTGAGAATGATGGTTTCCAGATTCATCCATGTCCCTACTACAAAGGACACAAACTCATCGTTTTTGATGGCTGCATAATATTCCATGGTGTATGTGTGCCACATTTTTTTTAGACAGAGTCTCACTCCGTCGCCCAGGCTAGAGGGCAGTGGTATGATCTCGGTTCACTGCAACGTCTGCCTTCCGAGTTTAAGTGGTTCTCCTGCCTCAGCCTCCTGAGTACCTGGTGTTACAGGCGCCCATCACCACACCTGGATAATTTCTGTTTTTTGTTTTTCAAGAAAGAGTCTTGCTCTGTCACCCAGGCTGGAGTGCAGTGGTGCGATCTCGGCTCACTGCAATCTCTGCCACCCAGGTTCAAGCGATTCTCCTGCCTCAGCCTCCAAGTAGCTGGGATTACAGGCACCTGCCACCACACCTGGCTAATTTTTGTATTTTTAGTAGAGATAAGGTTTCACCACATTGGCCAGGCTGGTCTCAAATTCCTCATGATCCACCTGCCTCGCCCTCTGAAAGTGCTGGGATTACAGGCATGAGCCACCGCACCCGGCCTAATTTTTGTGTTCTTTAGTAGAGACAGGTTTCACCATATTGGCCAGGCTGGTCTCAAACTCTTGAACTCCCGACCTCGGGTGATCCGCCTACTTTGGCCTCCCAACGTGCTGACATTCAGGCGTGAGCCACTGCGCCTGGCCAAAAAATATTTTTCTAATCTTAATACCATATTTCAGCTAGGACAAAATGCTGCTACACTAACAATGATCACACAAGTTATATGATTTCTGAGCGCTGTATAAGTATAAGCAGAAATTAACAGCTGGCTGTTAAATGCTAACTTTAGTCATTTAAGAGGAATTTGCAAGACAGAATCCCAAGCCAGTTTCTTACCTAGTGATGGGTCTCAGGCTGTAGATTGCTCTCTACCATCCTAGAAGCAGGAAAAAACAAAAATAAAACTCATCTTCCCTGTTGGAAGCTAGCTCAAATTCTATAAAGGAGTTACCTGCCTTCCATCATCATGGAAACAGGAAAACTTGCCTTCCTATTGGAAGCAAGTAAAACTCCAAAAAAAAAAAAAAGTAGTTATACAGCCAAATAAACTTTAGATCTCAACCAAATTTTGAGAGCTCAAGGATTCTCTGGAGGGGATGCTCCCAGACCTCAGCAAATTGTCCTATTGGTTTGAACCATAAAGTTAGCTCATGCTGGTACCAAGCACAGATAAGAGATTAGTTAAAGGTCAGGAACATCTCCACTCAGAATCTCCCCGTGGTTATTAAAATATGAACCCAGAAAATCTGAAATGGGTCTCAGTTAATTTAGAAAGTTTATTTTGCCAATGTTGTGGACACACCTGTGACACAGCCTCAGGAAATCCTGATGACGTGCACACGGTGGTCAGAGCACAGCTTAGTTTTATATATTTAGGGAGACATGAGATATCAATCAATATGTAAGATGTACTTTAGTTCCATCCAGAAAGGCAGAGATAGCTCAAAGCAAGCACTCACCCCACCCCACCCCACCCCACCCCTGCCACTGGGGTCTTCCAGGTCTCAGATGGTGAGAGACAGATGGTTACATTCTTTTTAGTTTCTGGTTAGTCTTTCCAAAAGAGGCAGTGGAGGCAATCTATCTCTGTGAGCGAAAGGATGACTTGAAGAGAATGGGAGGCAGATTTGCCCTGAGCGGTTCCCAGCTTGAAGGGGCCCAAGATATTTTCCTTTCACACATAGAACAAGTGAAACCACAAATGAATGAACAAGCATGTGCTCACTGACAGCTCATACGCATGGTCACACAAACACAGTGTCTCATGCTCACAAGACAGCAGGGTTCACACACCCGGTCCCAGGCACTGGGTCCCACACTCATACCTACTTGCCACTGGAATTTGTGCAGAGGCCCAGATGGTCACTAAGTGAGACTTCACAAAGCTGCAATCACTGTCCCAGAACATACAGAAATGGTGATGACACAGCCCTGACTTCATGAACACAGTGACTTTCAGAAACAGGTCCCTACAACAGGGATGGCTTCTCCACTAAGCACACTAGGCCCAAGGCCTAGGGCCACAGTACTATCAGGGGCCCACAAAAATGTCTTTTTAATCAGAAGAATAATATGAATATATTAATAATTAATATATAATAGCATAACCCAGACATGACCTCCTGGGCTCCAGCAATCCTCCTGCCTCAGTGTCCCACGTAGCTGGGACTACAGGTACACACCACCACGCCCAGCTAATTTTTAAATTGTTTGTAGAGATGGGGTCTTGCTACGTTGCCTAGGTTGGTCTCAAACTCCTAGGCTCAAGCAATTCTCCCGCCTTAGCCTCCCAAGGTGCTAAGATTATAGGCATGAGCCACCATACCTTGCCATATTTCAAAAATTTTTTTAAGGAGGAAAGGATCCACAAAGGTAAAGTGCTTAGGGCCCATCAATGTCAGATGCAGCCATGTGGGGAAAGAACACTCCCTGAGCACAAGACACTGAGGAACCCAGTCTCCAGTGTCACAAACAGGCCTGCCCAGCCAGGTCTGCCCCCACTCACCCCCTCCAGCCTGGGTAACGCCACCAAGCCCTGCCCTAGCGCTGACAGCGTGGGAGGGGCCACTGCTGGCCCAGCCTTACCCCCAACCAAGAGCCCTTTGCCAGGGATTCTGAGGTAGCCCTGATGCCTGGCCTGGCTGGGCCTCCCAAACCAAGGCCCGCCCCTTGGCCCGCCCCTGGCTGGGGTGGGGTGACCCATACAAAAGCTCAGAATTTCCAGCAGCGGCTCCTTCCTCCAGGAGTCTCTGGTGCAGCTGAGGCACGGAATCTGACCAAGCCCTGCTTAGACCCCCACCCTGGGGTCAGGAAGTTTGGAGGATGAGGCCCTTCAGCCCTGAGGTCAGCAGGGACAAGCGGGCAGACTGGCGGGTATACAGGGGGGCTGGGTTAACATCTCTTTGGTCACTGAGGCCATTCGATCTTCCTCCAATGGCTGCCAGGATTTCTGGTGGAAAAGACAGGAAAGCCTCCTCCCCTGTGTCAGGTCAGCCTGGAGGCTGAGGGCATGGCTATCAGCCAGTCTTGCTAGAACAGATGTCATGGCTTCAGTGGCTCATGGGGAAGCGGGGGTGGGCAAGCTTAGGCCAGAGTGAGGCTTGTAGGAGATGGCAGAGGCCTGGTCTGAGAGGTAACTCAGATGGGTCCTCCAGCGACCATGCTCCCCTCCATCTTCTGCCCTCCCGGAGCCCTGCGGGTCAATGTTTAACGGAAACCAGAGCAGGGGTGGATTAATGCATGAGGGCTTAGCCCCCCAGCCCTGGAGAGGGAGTCAGAAAGTTTGCAGCCTGTTCTCAGCTCTGCTTCCCCTGGCCAGGTTGCCCTCGATCAATCCCATGCCATGGCAGCCCACCTGCTTCCCATCTGCGCCCTCTTCATGGCCTTATTCGATATGGCCCAAGGCTCCAGGGACCCCTTGGTACCCAACCGGCCCTTCACCACCGTCTGGAACGCAAACACCCAGTGGTGCCTGGACAGGCACGGTGTGGACGTGGATGTCAGTGTCTTCGATGTGGTAGCCAACCCAGGGCAGACCTTCCGAGGCCCTGACATGACAATTTTCTACAGCTCCCAGCTGGGTACCTACCCCTACTACACACCCACTGGGGAGCCTGTGTTTGGTGGTCTGCCCCAGAATGCCAGCCTGATTGCCCACCTGGCCCGCACATTCCAGGACATCTTGGCTGCCATGCCTACTTCTGACTTCTCAGGGCTGGCGGTCATCGACTGGGAGGCATGGCGCCCACGCTGGGCCTTCAACTGGGACACCAAGGACATTTACCGGCAGCGCTCACGGGCACTGGTACAGGCGCAGCATCCTGAGTGGCCAGCTTCTCAAGTGGAGGCAGTAGCCCAGGACCAGTTCCAGGGAGCTGCACGGGCCTGGATGGCAGGCACCCTCCAGCTGGGGCGGGCACTTCGCCCTCGAGGCCTCTGGGGCTTCTATGGCTTCCCTGAATGCTACAACTATGACTTTCTAAGCCCCAACTACACAGGCGAGTGCCCAGCAGGTATCCGTGCCCAAAATGACCAGCTAGGGTGGCTGTGGGGCCAGAGCCGTGCCCTCTACCCCAGCATCTACATGCCTGCAGTGCTGGAGGGCACAGGGAAGTCACAAATGTATGTGCGTCACCGTGTGGGTGAGGCATTCCGTGTGGCTGTGGCTGCCAGGGCCCCCAATCTGCCAGTGCTGCCCTATGTCCAGATCTTCTATGACATGACAAACCACTTTCTACCCCTGGTGAGTCTTCTTCTGTAACCCGCCCACCTTGTCAACCTGTCTTGTCAGATATTAGGTTCAGCCTTGGGGCACTTTAGCCTTGGGACATTTTCATCCATTCATTTTTTTTTTTTCTTTTTTTTTTTTTTGAGATGGAGTCTCATTCTGTCACTCAGGCTGGAGTACAGTGGCAAGATCTCAGCTCCTGCAACCTCCACCTTCCCGGTTCAAGTGATTCTCCTGCCTCAGCCTCCTGAGTAGCTGGGATTAGAGGCATACGCCAGCATGCCTGGCTAATTTTTGTATTTTTAGTAGAAATGGGGTTTCACCATGTTGGCCAGGCTGGTCTCAAACTCCTGACCTCACGTGATCCTCCCACCTCAGCCTCCCAAAGTGCTGGGATTACAAGCGTAAGCCACCATCCTGGCCCATGTGCATATTCATTGAGTGTGTACTTTGTGCCAAGTTCTGTGCTAGCCACAGGCAATTCAACATTTATTGGAACGATGTAGTCCCTGTCTGCATGGAATTCATTGGCTAGGGGAGGAAGCAGTTTGCCTCTGGCCCTATGGCCAGAGCAGCCCCAGGTGAAGGTTATGAATTATTTGTCCCATCCAATGGTGTTCCAGCAATCCGCCACAGGGAGGGAAGGAGGCCCCACAGAGCTATGCTGTCTCCTTCCCAGGATGAGCTGGAGCACAGCCTGGGGGAGAGTGCAGCCCAAGGGGCAGCCGGAGTGGTGCTCTGGGTGAGCTGGGAAAATACGAGAACCAAGGTGAGTTAGGCCTGGCATAGGGGTGGGGCTAGGGTGGGGGTGGAGGAGGGGTGGGGACATTAAGCTGACTTGGGAGACACTGGCTTACCCTTTCTACCCTCAAAGTCCTGGCTGACCAGCAGGTGAGTGCCTCAGTGCTCTAGATAGGTCCATGCATGGCCATGGTGTCCCTGACACTTTCCTCCCCTCCCACCTAGGAATCATGTCAGGCCATCAAGGAGTATGTGGACACTACACTGGGACCCTTCATCCTGAACGTGACCAATGGGGCCCTTCTCTGCAGTCATGCCCTGTGCTCCGGTCATGGCCGCTGTGTCCGCCGCCCCGGCCACCCCAAAGCCCTCCTCATCCTTAACCCTGCCAGTTTCTCCATCCAGCTCAAGCCTGGTGGTGGGCCCCTGAGCCTGCAGGGTGCCCTCTCACTTGAAGATCGGGCACAGATGGCTGTGGAGTTCAAATGTCGATGCTACCCTGGCTGGCAGGGAGCATGGTGTGGGCAGAAGAGCATGTGGTGATTGGCCACACATTGGGATGCACACATTGAGAACCTAATGCACTCTGGGTCTGTCCAGGGCTTTCTCAAATACAGGCACAGTCACAAGTCATGGTCACAGTGAGGAGTACACTCAGCCACTGTCATGAGCATATGCCTTGCACACACATGCATACTTACAGACTGGAATAGTGGCATAAGGAGTTAGAACCACAGCAGACATCATCCATTCCATGTCAATATGCATCTATTGGCAGGGTGAGAGACAATTCCTCCAGAGACACTGAGCCAGTCTTTGAGCTGCAGCAGTCACGAAGGCTCACATTCACTGACCGCCTACTCTGCCAATCCCCGTGCTAAGCATTTTATGTTGACTTATTCTTTCCTCACAATGAGGCTATGAGGAAACCGAGGCACTCACAGTGAGGGTAAGCACTTTGCCAAGGTTGCACAGCAAGGCTGTCTGGCTCCAGGGGTACAGCCCTGGCACTCCTACTGAGTGTATGGTAACCAGCCCTGCACGACCCCTGAATCTGCTGAGAGGCAGCAGCCCAGCAAATAAAGCAGTCATGATTTACTTAGCTGTTTATTGAGCGCCTAAAATGTCCAGGCCCCGGTATCCAAAGGGCACAGGAAAGGCTTGTCACTCTCACCAGATCTGACGTCAGTCTAAGGGCGGCTGCTTCCCAGGGTAGGCCCAAATTTCAGGAGGAAGCCCCACCTGATCTAACCATTTCCAACCTGTCCTGGGGCAGGAGGCCGGCGGGAACTAGGGCAGGGCTGGCGGAGGAAAAGCCAGCTGGAGGTGGCGCCTGCGCCTCGTTGAGGGGGTGACCCGCAGGGCCTGGGTGAAGCCAAATCGAGGTGGGACCTAACCTGTGACGCAATGAGGAGGCGGGGCCTGTATGGGGCCGGGCGGGGAGGAGGCGGAGTCAACTGGAGATGGGGTGGGGCTCAGCAAGGGCGGAGCCAGAGCAGAGACTGAGTCTGCGCCTGCTGAGTGTTGTGACGCGCAAACGAGGGGAGGGGCCTAAGCGGCTGCGCGCGGGTGCATTGGCGCGCCGCGGATAGCGACGGCTGCCGTACAGCCGCCGCACCACTGGGGGCCAGCGCTTTCGGACTTAGGAGTCCGAGCCGCCGACTGAGTCAGATACCCAGCCGTGCGGAGCTAGGACGCGGAACATCCCGGAGGCCGCATCAACATGTCAGTACCGCCCCCTCCCTATTTGTTGCCTGTACGTCCACCCCGCGCGTGGGGTCCCCAAGTGGCCATGTCACCCCGCACGCCCTCCCTGCGTCGGTCGTTCCTTTCCAGAGCATGCCGAGCCACACCTGCTCACAGTCAGCTCTCAAAGTCCCAAAAGTTCCACAGCCTGTGACTCACTAGGAGGGAGGAGGAAACCGAGGCCCAGGAGAGACGGTGAAGCCACTCTCTGAGGACCCCGGAGCCCCGCCCCGCCCACAGTGGGTGGGGTCGGCACTGAAGGGGTTAAGGCCGCCGGGTAGTCCCTGGCTGAGGCCTAGGGGCGGATCCTGGAGCTTCCTCCCTCCAGATCGAAGAGTGCGGCTGCTGCAGAGGTGGCTGATGCAGGTGAGGGGCTTATAGCCCTGTGAATGGGGTGGGAGGTGAGGGGTGGGTGCTGCCTGTTACTGGCCAGTGTTGAATTGGCCTCAAGCTCAGGAGAGGTAAGGGGAGCCAGGAGGCCCGCACAGGAGCATGTGGGTAGAAGGATGGGTCCAACTGCCTGCCCACCCCTAGAAAACCCCCAGTGTAGACCTGCCTGACAGCAAGACCTTGGTTAAGATGGGCAAACAGTGGGGTTTGGACACAGGTCTGGGCCCCTAACCTGGCCCCTCCAACCTGGTGACCGTTGGATACCCTGTGGATATAGGAAGGAAGCTGTGGTCTTTATCTAGGGTGCCTGCGAAACTCAGGCCGGTGGGGAACCAAGCCTGCAGAGGTAATACTGCTGTGTGACTGTGGCCAGGCAGGCCCAGTGCTGGTGCTGCTGGGGCCCCATCTGAGGGGACAGTTGGGTCTATATCCAAAGTGTCCTGAGATGGCAGAGTTGGGAAGGGGGCCATGGGCTCCAGGCAGGGAAGGCAGCCAAGACAGGCTAAAGCTGAGCCTGATGGGTGGGTGAATGGAGCCCCAGGATCCACTAAGGCAGTGGGCATTGCCCAGGTAGTTGAAAAGCTGGAAACTGGAGGAGACTCTGAACGTAGGGAGATGAAAGGGACAGGAAGACCCCTAGAGGGAGTATTTCCTCTGGAGGGAACCTGGGGTAGGTTTGGGCAGGGGGTATAGTGTCTGTTTTGCACCTTCTGTCCCATGCCCTAGTGGTGTGGACTAGGAGGACTACTGGGAGACAGGAGGCCAGCAAGTAGATTGGGTCAGCTGTCTTATAGACCTGGTGGTTCAAAGGCCCCCTGTGAGGGGAGGTCCTAAGGAGGACAAATTTGTAGCCAGAGCAGGCTAGGGCCATGACTCCTGGGTTCTCCGCCAGCCTTAAGCAACTCATCCATCACTCCCAGCCTCCCTCCAATGTAGGACAGACACCTGGATCTATCTTCCCTGCTCTCCCCTATTCCAGGAGTAGGGAGTGGGTCTCTTTCAGGTCACCTGTGCCATCAGGTGAGTGTGGGACAAAGTGCAGCTCACCACTCCCCAGTTCCAGTATGCATGGTCCCCCTTGCACTCTGTCAGCCCTTCCCTGCCCCAACCCCATCCTCCTTCCTGGCACAGCCCAGCATGGCTGTTATCTACAGGAGGAGAGCCCCTGTGGTCTTAAGAGATGCCACTGCCTGGAGACTGGAGTCTTAACCTCTAGCGTGGCACTGAGCCACCTGCAACCTAGCAGGAGGTTACCCTGGCTCCCAGCCTGACTCAGCTGAACCTGAATCCTATGCATAGGCAAGAGCTGACTGTGAGCCCTGGCCCAGCCAAGCTGACCCTTACACTAGACCCTAACACACCAGATGGAGCTGATCCTGAGTACCAGCCCAGCTGAGCTGACTCTGGATCCTACCTGCCAGCCAGAGCTGACCCTGAAATCCAGCCTGACCAAGCTAACCCTGGATCCTACGTGCCAGCGAGAGCTGCCTCTGGATTCCACATGCCATCCAAAGATGACCTTCAGTCCTAGTGCAGCTGAGCTTACTCTGGATCCTGAACACCAGCCAGAGAAGACCCTAGCTCCTAGCCTAGCTGAGTTGACCCTGGAGCCTGTGCACCGCCGACCCGAGCTCCTGGATGCTTGTGCTGACCTCATCAATGATGAGTGGCCCCGCAGCCGTGCCTCCCGCCTGCACTCCCTGGGCCAGTCCTCAGATGCCTTCCCCCTCTGCCTGATGCTGCTGAGCCCCAACCCCACACCTGAAGCAGCACCCATTGTGGTGGGCCATGCCCGCCTGTCACGGGTGCTGAACCAGCCCCAGAGCCTCTTAGTGGAGACGGTGGTAGTGGCCCGGGCCCTGAGGGGCCGTGGCTTTGGCCGCTGCCTCATGGAGGGCCTGGAGGTGTTTGCTCGGGCCCGGGGCTTCCGCAAGCTGCACCTCACCACCCATGACCAGCTGCACTTCTATACCCACCTGGGCTACCAGCTGGGTGAGCCTGTGCAGGGCCTGGTCTTCACCAGCAGACAGCTGCCTGCCACCCTGCTTAATTTCTTCCCCATGGCCCTCTCTCCCCGGCTACCCTGGAAGGCCCCAAACCTAACTGTCCAAGCTGCCCCAAGGGGTCCCAAAGGGCCTCCATTGCCACCACCCCCTCCCCTACCTGAGTGCCTGACCACCTCACCCCCAGCTCCATCAGGGCCCCCTCCAAAAAGCCTGCTGGAGACACAATACCAAAACATGAGAGGGTGCCCCATATTCTGGATGGAAAAAGACATCTGAGGCCATCCAGGGCAAGGAGTTGTCTTTTTGGGTCAATGACTGCCCTGGACAGTCTACCAGCCTCATCCCACCAACCATACCTCAGCTGCTAGCCCCTGCAGGGGCAGCTTTAGCCTGAGCAGTGGGGCCAGGAGGTGGAGCTGGCTCAGAGCCATCAGTTTGGCTGAATAAAGGCTCTGTTGGGTGTGGCTGTGACAGTTTGTTTGTTGAACCCCCTTACCCTCACCTCTCACCTCTTCTGCAGGTCCCCTATTCCTGCAGAAGCCCCCAGATTCGCCTTGGCCCTGAGGCCATTGATGGGAGGATGCCTGTACTTTGCCCTTCCCCCCCCAACCAGGCCCAGGAGACAGGGTGGCTGTTCTCTTCCCCATTAACTCACTCACTACCATTCACTAAGCCCAGAACAGGACATAGGCAATGGGGAACTAGACAGGCAGGGTGATGGATAGGGAGACAAACAGGCATACAGTGGCAGGATCCATGTGGCACAGGGGAGGTAAAGATGCTTTGGAAACCCAAGTGCCTTCACTCCACCTGGGGATCCAGGAGACCTTGCAGGGCAGTGATGTCACAGCAGAGACCTGAGTGCTAGGTAGGAATTAAACCAGGCAGGTAAGGAGGTGGGAGCTGAGTGTTCTTGGAACAGGGAACAAGGTGTGCAGAGGAAAGAAGAGGACTTGTAACAGCTGTAGGAGGACACTGGTGTCTTCACAAAGATGGGAAACATGGGAGGGAATGTACCCTCAGCTCACTGTAAAGCGCACTTTGGTGTGCACCTGCCACTCAATGCCCGGGAGATCATAGCCAGCTTATGGTGTGGCTGCTTTAAAAAGCCCAAGAGACCCTGGGGAAACATGTTTTCTCTAAGCTCCTCCCATAGGATAAGGAGGAGCTGGGGGAGCTTTCCTGGCTTTCCCTGCTATGTGGAAGGTGTGGCCATGGCCATGGACTCTAAGCTCACACATCCCTCTCTCCTGCAGGTTTCCATCCTTGGGGCATGACCACGCAACTAGGCCTGGTGCTGGGGGTGGCCCTGTGCCTGGGTTGTGGCCAGCCCCTGCCACACATCCCTGAACACCCCTTCTCTGTGCTGTGGAATGTACCCTCAGCACACTGTAAAGCCCGCTTTGGTGTGCACCTGCCACTCAATACCCTGGGCATCATAGCCAACCATGGCCAGCATTTCCATGGTCAGAATATGACCATTTTCTACAAGAACCAGCTGGGCCTCTATCCCTACTTTGGGCCCAGGGGCACAGTTCACAATGGGGGAATCCCCCAGGCTTTGCCCCTTGACCGTCACCTGGCACTGGCTGCCTACCAGATCCACCACAGCCTGAGACCCAGCTTTGCTGGCCCAGCAGTGCTGGATTGGGAGGAGTGGTGTCCACTCTGGGCTGGGAACTGGGGCCGCCGCCGGGCCTATCAGGCAGCTTCTTGGGCTTGGGCACAGCAGGTATTCCCTGACCTGGACCCTCAGGAGCAGCTCTACAAGGCCTATACTGGCTTTGAGCAGGCGGCCCGTGCGCTGATGGAGGATACGCTGCGGCTGGGCCAGGCACTGCGGCCCCATGGACTCTGGGGCTTCTATCGCTACCCAAACTGCGGCAATGGCTGGCATAGTACAGCTTCCAACTATACCGGCCGCTGCCGTGCAGCCACCCTTGCCCGAAACACCCAACTGCATTGGCTCTGGGCCGCCTCCAGTGCTCTCTTCCCCAGCATCTACCTACCACCCAGCCTGCCACCTGCCTACCACCAGGCCTTTGTCCGACATCGCCTGGAGGAGGCCTTCCGTGTGGCCCTTGTTGGGCACCAACATCCCCTGCCTGTCTTGGCCTATGTCCGCCTTACACACCGGAGATCTAGGCGGTTCCTGTCCCAGGTAAGTGGGAGCTGAGGTCTAGGGGCCTGAATCGGGAGGTATGGCCCTGTTCTTGGAAGATCCCAGAAGACCTTGCCTAGGGGTAGGTCCTAATCTAGGGGTTTTGAGCAGAAGACCCTGTCCTGGAGCATCTGATGAGAGAGGTATGGCTCTGCCCTGGAAGATCTTAAGGCGTAGGGAGGCCCAGCCTTTGGAGCCCTGGTCTGAGGGGAGATATTCTGAGTGGAAGGCCTGAGAAGCCACTCAGAGACTCGATACAAAGGAGCCCTACTCGGGCTGATGAGTGGCTCACACCTATAATCCCAGTACTTTGGGAGCCTGAGATGGAAGGATTCCTTGAGGTCAAGAGTTTGAGACCAGCCTGGGCAATACAGTAAGACCCCAGTCTCTACCCAAGTTGGCCAGGCTGGTCTTGAACTCCTGACCTCAGGTGATCTGCCCACCTTAGCCTCCCAAATTGCTGGCATTACAGGTGTGAGCCACCACGCCCAGCCGCTAATTTTTATATTTTTGTAGAGATGGGGTTTCATCATGTTGCCCAGGCTGGCTCTGGACTCAAGCAGTCCTCCCGCTTTGGCCTCCCAAAGTGCTGGGATTAGAGGTGTGAGCCACTGCACCCAGCCTAAAAAGTTATTAGCCAGGTGTTATGACATGGGCCTGTAGTCCCAGCTACTTGGGAGGCTGAGATGAGGTGGGAGGATCACTTGATCCCAGGTGTTTAAGGCTGCAGTGAGCTATGATCATGCCACTGAACTCCAGCCTGGATGACAGAGCAAAACCCTGCCTCTAAAACCAAACCAAACTAGAAGGGCCCCACTGTAGAGGTAGAATCAGATTGTGGCAGTGAACCAGAAGAGTTTCTTAAAGGTGGATGTGGACCCACATGGATCTGGCCAGTCTAGCCCTGGCTTAGCAGCTCTCTGCCTCTAGGATGACCTTGTGCAGACCATTGGTGTGAGCGCAGCACTAGGGGCAGCCGGCGTGGTGCTCTGGGGGGACCTGAGCCTCTCCAGCTCTGAGGTGATCATTGCCCCTTTGAGCCTGTCATGTAGCACATGCTGGGGTCCCAGGGTGAGGGATGGCCATGTCAAGACTGTGGAGCAGGCATATTGACACATCCCTTCCTTTCTTAGGAGGAGTGCTGGCATCTCCATGACTACCTGGTGGACACCTTGGGCCCCTATGTGATCAATGTGACCAGGGCAGCAATGGCCTGCAGTCACCAGCAGTGCCATGGCCACGGGCGCTGTGCCTGGCGAGATCCAGGACAGATGGAAGCATTTCTACACCTGTGGCCAGACGGAAGCCTTGGAGGTTGGAAGTCCTTCAGCTGCCACTGTTACTGGGGCTGGGCTGGCCCTACCTGCCGGGAGCCCAGGCCTGGGCCTAAAGAAGCAGTATAAAGCCAGGGCCCCTGCCACTGCCTCTTCTTTCCCTGCTGCCACTTTTCCAGTCCAGGAGCTACTGTGTCCCACTCTTGCTCTATTCAGCTTACCAACCCTCCCAAAAGCACACACTCCACTTCCCTTGGAATCCCTGAGGCATGGAAGGGGCCAGAAAAAAGGCTTATAAAACTAGAGGCCTTCTGAGATCACGTGACTCCTCCATGGCAGGGAAGCAGTTCCAGGGAGAGTCACGTTCCAGCTAGTTAGGGGTGCCAGCCCAGGGCTTTGTACCTACAACTTACTAGACCCATGGAGAGGTCACAGGAGATGGGCCATGCGCGGGCAGATGGGCCCCAAAAAATCTTGGCTAAGGTCTGTTAAGTGCTAAGCTGTTGTCTGTACTCTTTCATCATAAAATCACTTTTTCTTCCACTGCCTGAGATTTGGCTGCTCCTCCTGTTATCCCAAACTCTAAGCCCTTTCCGGGGTCCCCAGACCTAGGCAGCGGTCGGCCTCGTCGGGAGTGTCCTGCCAAGTGCCTTTAGAAGCCAGTCCTGCCGTGGCGCTCCACTGAGGGACGCTTCGGAGTTAGGACCGTGCACTAGTGGCCACCAAGGGGCTGAGGCACGCGCAGGGCATTGTGGGAACATAGTTAAGCTAGCGCGTCGTCGGCGAGTGGGCTCCAGGCGTGGACTACCATTCCCGTGGTGCTCTACGCGCAGCTCAGGCCCCTGGGATTAGTAGTTTTGGTTGCGTCGATGTGGGTCTGAACCGGATGGCCGGGAACTCGACTTCCCGGCGACCTGTTTGGCAGGGCGGGCCGCCTCGGGAAGATGGTGGCGCGCGCGGCGTGTGGCTCCCGTCTGGCCAAGTCTCAGCGCAGCGCACCGGCCAGCGTCTTGCTGGCCTGGAGCCCACACCCACCGGGTCCCTGACCCCGCGCCCCCTGCGCCCCCCGCGCCCGGTTCCCAGCATGCCTCGCGCCCGTAAGGGCAACACGCTCCGAAAGGGTGGTCAGCGCCGTGGAGGAGGTGAGTGGGGTGGGGGGCGCCGAGCTTATGAGCGGCAGGTGGGGGTCCTGCTGGTTCCCTGTAGTTGTTCCCGAGGGCCCTGGGTGGGGAACCCTTTCGGCCAGCCCCAGGCAGCTTCCCGGAACTCTACGGAGGCTGGCACGTGCCGCAGCAGTCATTGGCCACGTGCGTACCCAACTTGATCTCGCTGCCCACTGCCTGTTGGGAGCCCGCGCTCCCAGCGGTGACCCGGCCAGCCCTTCCGGGCCTCAGTTTCTCTATTGCCTCTCTGCCTCAGTGGCCTGCTGGGTGGACAAACTCACCGGACAGAGCAGAAAGCCAGTCCCCTCGCCAAACCCTGATCCTTTCCTGGACTGGTCAAGGAAGTTGGCGGGAGTCCTGGATTGCTTGGGTGAACAGAAGGAGGGGGCTCTGTTGGGAAGTTACAGAATTAGGGCCTTGGCAGCTTGGCAGGCCTGACCCCACAAGGTGGCTGAGTATCCTGGAGCCTGAGGCAGCTTTGGGACTCGCTTATCAGCTTAGACCAGGAGCCCGTCTTAATGCAGTAAACACATATGTTTACTTTGCTGGGATGGGGTGCCTACCATGCACAATTTTATTTATTTTTATTTTTGACGGGGAGGGGAGGAAAGCCTGGCACAGAAAGAAGGAAAAGACCTAGGCACAACTTTAAACTGGTCACCACCCTGGTGGGATTTGGGTGGGGGACATCTAATAGGATTTGGAACATGTTCACTGAGTGGTGTCAGCTCCAGACTTAGGACCCAGGTAGGCCTGCGGGGAGGTACTTCTGGGTAAGTCCCAAGAAGATGGAGAAGAGAGCAAGTTGTGCAGAGGTCTGGCAGCTGGAGGGACCCCAGCACAGTGGAGTGAATGAGGGAAGGCTGGGCTGCTCTGTCAGGTAGGATAGTAAGATAAAAGGGGAGCAGAGGCCAGTGTGCCGGCTGGACTTTGTCCTGCAGGTGAGGGCTGTGAATAGTTCTGAGAAGTAGGTCCAGCCTGATGATCAGACCCTGTCCAAAACTCTGCCACAGCAGCCACCCTTGCCAATGTCAGCCCTTGGCCCTGGACAGACCCCACATACAGGAGTGCACCAGCCCTACTGACCTGACCCTTGGCTTTGATTTTTCCTCTCCGAGAGGGTGCACCATTCCATCTTTTGGGATTATGAGGTCAGGTGAGGTACCCCAGCCATCCCTCATCAGTGGAGGCAAGTTGAGTGTCCTATTCCACCTTCCCCCAGGTGTCCGGAGCAGTGCCCAAGCTGACTCAGGTTCCAGTGAGGATGAGGCAGCCAGTGAGGCCCGCAGCACCGCCAGCGAATGCCCCAGCCTTCTCAGCACCACTGCAGAGGACAGCCTTGGTGAGAGCAAGTGGAAGTTTGACAGGGGCTTGGTGAGGGGGCTTCATGGGACAAGAAGAAGTGCTGACCAGGTGGCCTTGCAGGGGGGGATGTCGTGGATGAGCAGGGCCAGCAAGAAGACCTTGAGGAGAAGCTGAAGGAGTATGTGGACTGCCTCACAGACAAGAGGTACCCCTGACTGCCGGCCAACTCTTACACCCAGCTCCAAGTGTGACCAAGGGAGGGCTCGCCCATATGACCCCTCTTCTTGACCTCCCCCAGTGCCAAGACCCGGCAGGGTGCTCTTGAGAGCCTGCGCCTGGCCCTGGCATCCCGCCTACTCCCTGACTTCTTGCTGGAGCGCTGCCTCACGCTAGCCGATGCCCTGGAAAAGTGCCTCAAGAAAGGTTGGACCTGGGGGTGCATGGGAGACTTAAACTTCGCAGACACTGGCCCTTGCTGCATGGGCTGACTGGAAAGCATCCCACAGGGAAGGGCGAGGAACAGGCCCTGGCTGCCGCTTTGCTAGGCCTGCTCTGCGTGCAGCTGGGCCCTGGACCCAAGGGTGAGGAGCTGTTCCACAGCCTGCAGCCGCTGCTCATCTCTGTGCTCAGTGACAGCACAGCTAGCCCTGCCGCCCAGCTCCACGTGAGTGTGCCCGTGCCCCATGAAACCCTTCCTCCACCTTATCCCTCAGCAGAATGGTGGGTTCCTCCTGTCTTCAGCCTCCCCTACTCTGAGGGGGGGTGAGCTCCAGGACTGGGAACGCAGGTTCACCTGCTGACCGTGGCATGGCATTGCCCTCCTCCCAACAGTGCGCTTCTGCCCTTGGCCTGGGCTGCTACGTGGCTGCCGCCGACATCCAGGTGAGTGGTCTTTGGGCACAGGTGGTAGAACACCTAGGCTTGTAACTCTGCCTCTGAGTTCCCCTGCCTTCCTGTGCTCCTAGGATGTGGTCTCTTGCCTTGCTTGCTTAGAAAGTGTTTTCAGCCGGTTCTATGGCTTGGGCAGCTCTGCAACTCCTGTGGTCCCTGCTAGCCTGCACGGCCTACTCTGTGCTGCCCTGCAGGCCTGGGCGTTACTGCTCACCATCTGCCCCAGCACCCACTTCAGCCACATCCTTGACAGGTAGGTGTGGCTGTCCACTGGGATGGGTAGGGGATCTCAAAGAGGCCCCCAACCCACACATGTAGCTCAGCCTGCCCCTTCCCTAGGCAGCTGCCCCGGCTGCCCCAGCTCTTGTCCAGTGAAAGTGTGAACCTGCGGATCGCTGCTGGTGAAACCATTGCCCTGCTCTTTGAGCTTGCCCGGGACCTTGAGGTGCGAGGGACAGGGATGGGGGTGCTTGGTGACACCACCTGCCCATCGAAGGCTGGATGCAGGGGTGCAACAGAAAACAGAATAGCTTTAGGTCATTATGTAGAGGACTTGGCCCCAACACAGATTAATCTGCCAGATGTCATGATGGGTGCCCTGAGCCAGGGTGTCCTGGCCAGGCAGAGGCCAAGGAGGGGTCAAAGGGGCCAGGCAGAGAAGAGACGGTCTCTCAGTGAAAACAGGGGTTTAGGCAGTGCTGCATTCAGAGCCAGCAGAGCTCAAGCATTTGCTACACACCCTCCAACACTCGCATTGCAGGAGGAGTTTGTTTACAAGGACATGGAGGCCCTCTGCAGTGTCCTGCGCACTCTGGCCACTGACAGCAACAAGTACCGTGCCAAGGCTGATCGCCGGCGCCAGCGCTCTACTTTCCGTGCCGTGCTGCACTCCGTGGAGGTGTGTGTGAGAACATATGTGTCCTAGCAAGGGTGCACCCCCAGGCATAACAGCTAAGCCCAGTTGTGTGGGTCCCTCTAACCCTGCAGGGCGGTGAATGCGAAGAAGAGACAGTGCGCTTCGGCTTTGAGGTGCTCTACATGGACAGCTGGGCTCGGCACCGGATCTATGCTGCTTTCAAGGAAGTGCTGGGTTCGGGCATGCACCACCACCTCCAGGTGCGGGGACAGACAGGGAGGGAGCACCTGGCTTGGCTGCTTCAGGCTGGCCTGGGCTCACTGCCCTCTGCCCCCCAGAACAATGAGCTACTCCGTGACATCTTTGGGCTGGGCCCTGTGCTGGTGCTGGATGCTGCTGCCCTGAAGGCCTGCAAGGTTCCACGCTTCGAGAAGGTTTGTACCCTTGGGCACCTTCCTCTTCCCCCTATTCCCCTGTTTCCTGGAGGCCTGGAATTCTGCAGTGGCTGGAAGAGGAGCCCCGGGCCTTTCCCTTCCCTGCTCCCCAGGGTATCACTCTCTGTCCCCACTCCAGCACCTGTACAATGCTGCCGCCTTCAAAGCCCGGACCAAGGCTCGAAGCCGTGTACGGGACAAGCGGGCAGACATCCTGTGAAGCAGGACCAGCTGAAAAGGAGACTCTCCATACCTTTGGTCCGTATTTTTAACAGAAGACAGTGCGACAACTGGATTCCACCAGTATTTGTCACTTTATTTTTTTAATTAGAAAATCAAAAACAGACATGGGGTGGGCAGCTGGGGGCCTGGACACTTGGGACCCTGGCTCCTTTCTCCCTGCACTCAGCCCCGTGGCCTCTTCCTGCCTTGTCTCAGGCCAGGCTAAATATGTGCCTGTCCCAGGGCTGTGGGGGAGGCACTAGGGAGTCTTTCCCTTCCTTTTCTTTCTCAGGCCTTGCTCCCCTAGGATGACCCACTCTTAGGTGGGTGGTGGCATCTGGACAAATGCCACTACAGCAGGTGGGGAGACAAAGTTACCTGGAATGGATTTGTGTGCTGATTTTTAAGGATTATTAGAGATATTAAACAGAATGCTCAGCCTTCTGTGGTCTTAACCCCTGAGTATTTTTCTTTTCTCTCTCCCTATCCATCTACCACCCCACACTTGGGCCCAACTGGGTCTTCCCCCATGTCACATTTGCCCTCCAAGGCTCCCCCAGGTGGCGCCTCTCCCCCCACTCAGAGCCCCAATCTGTCTTTGAGAGCTGAGGCTGGACCCCCACTGGGAGGCCTGGCAGAGTTTGGTGACTGCCGTGAGGCAGCTATTTCTAGACTTCAGAACCTGCCATCTGGAGGTGGCCAGAGATTGCTGACAGGCCACAGGAGGAGCCAGGAGGCTGGTACACCTTCCCCTGACCTTGGGTCACCCAGAACAAAGGCTTGGCACCAGACGCTTGGCTAGGCCTGGCTTGAAGAGATCAGGAGAGGCAGGTAGCTGTGAAATCGGTATCAGGTTCTTTTTTTTTTTAAAGATGGGGTTTCACCATGATGGCCAAGCTGGTTTTGAACTCCTGACCTCAGGTGATCCACCCACCTCAGCCTCCGAAACAGCTAGGATTACAGGCGTGAGCCACCACGCCCGGTGGTATCAGGTTCTTACACAAAAATCTCACCAAGGAAATAATGTAGATGTGGCAGCCAGCAGTAGGGAAGGAGAGACCTGCCCATAGCCACTTTATTCCTCCCAACACACACCCCCAGGCCCCAGATCCAAGTGGCATCAGCAGGGTGCTGCTTGGGCCTCACTGGAGTTGAGCCTCCGAAGCTGGCTGAGGCTGGCCAGGCGGAGTTTGAGTAGCGTCTCCTCCTGCGTGTGCAGTGTGTGTGCCAGGATGCGTAGGGATTCACTCTGCAGCACTATAAATGAGAAGTCGGGGATCACGAGACCATGTGCCACCCCAGCCCAGGACTGGGGGCACCCGTGAGCCTCCCATCCCATCCTTCGTTGCTGCAGCATCTGCAGTTGCTCCTTCCAACTGCATAGAAGTGCCTCCCAGGCTCCACTGCCCTGCCCTCTTCCTACCGGCAACCTGTACATCCATACCGCTCAGGTAGACAGCCAGGAGTGCGAGTGCCAGGCAGGTGAGCACCAGCAGCGTGAGCAGCAGCAGGAACCCTCGTCTGTACACAGGACTGCAGCCAGCCTGGGCACACAGCGACGGCGGCAAAACACCCAGCAGCTCATCCCATGGCCGTACCTCTTCAGTCAGATAGGGGCGCAGTGTGCCTGTTGGGTGGATGGGACAGCGGGAGGGTGGTGGATGCACCTGCTTTCATCCCCACCCCTAGCACATTATCCACCCCTGTCCCGGCTCACCTCCGCTGTGTAGGTCGCTGATGGACTCCACACGGTGCAGGCGCACCTCCTGCACGTGGTTGGGGGCCAGTGCCCCACTGCTCCTCTGGCTGGGCATCACTGGTGCCATGGAGTCTGCAGGGCCAGTGCAGGCTGATTTAGCCAGTGGTGGATCAACCCCCTTCTATCAGGTGGCTGGCTGATCCTTCAGGCAGCAGGGACTTCGGAGGATAGGGATAGTGGGGCATTTGGCTCCAAATCCCCTAAAGCTGACTCTGGAATGACCCTTGATTTGGATCCAGGATGATCCCAGACCCTTAAAGGCTTATTCTGTACACAGGAGCAACAGACACATTTGATTTGTTTCCTTCCAAGCACCCCAGGGACTCGGACATTCCTCCGCCTCCTCATTTCTAGCAGTTATCAGCCTTTTTTTTTTTTTTTTTTTTTTT